CATTATATTAATATTTAATATAGTTTAATATATAGCATATATATTTAATATATAGTTTAATATAATATATTTTTGATTTTGGTGTGAAATGATACCAAAGGTTTTGTGAGATTTATCCAAAGAGTCAAATAATGTCATTTGTTAAGCAAGCAGCTTTCCACACATGGTACAGGGAAATTTCACATGAAAAATGGACATCCAACCTTGTATAAAGTAGTCATTGGCAATACCCTATGATATTTGAGCCAAACAGAACATGCTGTTTCAGTCCTGAAAAATTGGATTAGGTATTCGAGGTAATGTTCACTAGAGAGCAACACGTTTGATTCAATTCGGCGATCACCTCTTGATAGACACTCTTAGCCATTTTATCCCAACCTGACCGACTGAACAAATAAACAAAGTCCCTTTGAAAGAGAAAACTAATTTTTAAGCTTCAAGTATGCTGTGCCTAGAAACGAGACTGAACATGTTATTATAGCAAATAAACAAAGAGAGGGAGGGGGAGAGAGTAAAGAAAGAAAATAACGACTGTGAAAATATACAAAAGTGAGAGTCAATTGAGAAAGTATTTCCATAATAAGAAACAAATAATAAATTACAGAGGCCGCTCTCAGCTGCAGGGAATCGGCATGATGTTGCCAGCCGAAGAAAGAAGGTGTCACTCTTTCACCCTTTCTACTAGGATGATGGAGAACACCAAACAACATCATTCTAGCTCAAGGTTGTCTTTATTTTTTCATGTTCATTCTTCTGCATAGGTGTGAAATTATAATTTTTTGGTTCACATTTCACAAAGATTTTCATCATCCGTGAAGTAACCTCTGTATGACGGTCTGTGTACTGTATATTTTCATGGTTATTGTGACATTTAAATTTAACTGGGATGTCGTAGGTTAATGATTTTCCACTCAGTGACTTTGTCAAGGTGCTGCTTTCGTGTAGCTAATGCATCAACATCACAGGATAGATTTAGAACCTGACTTTGGCAGGTTTTCATGTGTAAATTAGCAGTAGTTTCATTGTCACAACCATCTTTTTGTCAGTTAAATCCCATTCGCATCAAGATTGATAACTATGCGACCGCACCAACTGATGATAATATTCTATGTATTATAAGCACACGCTGCAGTCATGTTTTCTTTAAATGCTCAAGCTCTGGATTTCTGATTGACTGTCAGCTAGAAAAAAAATTCTAAAAAGGATTCCAACAGTGGTCTTCCAGTGTGGTTTTCCATCCTTAATGAACGGCCTTAACGCCACAATAAGCAAGGCTTAGTATATAGTATGTATCATATACGTAGGCATGTTTACCCATGATGCTCTGCTTTGTGTCATACTTAAAATGTTGTCATCCTTTTAGCTTCATATGCCATTCTAGCCAGTCTCATCATTCCATTGTCCTATGATGAATATATATGTATATACAGTGTACATAAAACATTCTCATTCTGTGTTGTTAAAATAAACAGTTTCTTGTAGCAGCTGCTTTTATCTTCACAGCAATTATTAGAATTTATATGGAGTGAAAAGCAGGATGTGAGTTGTATAAATCCCTAAAAATGGGTTTGCATGCTGCTTACTTCATCCTTCGAAGCCATTTCCTTTCTTTCGTATCACTGAGTTTGATACAGCATTAGCCTGAAGGTATGACTGCTGCTGGATCTTAAACAGACTCTGAAATGATTTTCCACTAGTTACTCATTCATCTTACTCCATATACTGGTCTGGTTCCTCTCAGAGCTGACAGGTCGAGCAGGTAACCAGAAGGCAGTTGTAGTTTGTACTGAGTAGAGTGTTAGTATTCAGTTTGGCAGCTGAAGCTGGCATGAGTTGGCACCCCTCTACTCTTAGTAGATAATGTTACCAGACATAGGACACATCTTTTATACTAAAGAGATTATGGTAGGCATTATATCCCTTTTTATCAGAGTAAAGCTGCAGGATAATGTTCCTAAGGAACTTTAACAACATATGGAGCTTAGTGATTACCAACAGATGAAAAGATACTTTACACCTCAACCTCTGTGGTTTATGCAATAGCCATATGGTTGCTCTTAGTAGATAATGTTACCAGACATAGGACACATCTTTTATACTAAAGAGATTATGGTAGGCATTATATCCCCTTTTATCAGAGTAAAGCTGCAGGATAATGTTCCTAAGGAACTTTAACAACATATGGAGCTTAGTGATTACCAACAGATGAAAAGATACTTACCCTCAACCTCTGAGGTTTATGCAATAAGCCATATGGTTTGTAAATATTCGATAAAAGGGTTTGATGAGGTCAAAGTCATCTGTAACCGTTGTGTTTTGGTGGAAACTGTGGTCGCCGATCTTTATTGGTTACTTGCTGTGAAGCGTTGTCAACTAGCAATATCCAAACTCCATTTGGAGACAAAACAATCTCACCTCGCCTTCGAACAACATCTGCTGCCCATTTGGGAGCCATTCCCGCAGTCTGTGCTGTTTAATATTCACAAAGTCTCTGGAATCCGGCTGGTGCGAAAAACAGGAGAACGACCTGGAGGAACACCCAGAAATGAGGGGGTTAAACAGGCATATTTGAACTCTGGTAATTTGGACGGATGGTACCAGCAATGGGGCTCGGGACTCTTGGGGGGCCCTGAGGCGAGGCCAGACCTGAGGGTTAGCCACACAGGAAGTTTACACAGCAGCATGCCAAATCAAAATCTATTTAATCATCAAACCGAACGAATAGGAGCTGTCCGCCAGACACAGCTCAGCAGCTGCCTCAGATGAAGACAAATGTGCTGCGGAGCTGCTGGAGCAAAAGCTAAATGCATTTGGAGCCTTCGTGAAATGGCATAGCTTAGGTGCATGCTTCACGAAATAACTTGCCGAACCCTTTTGATAGAAATTGAAGTGCTTTTAAATGCATTTAATTGTTTGCATATGAGCATTTGCAAAGAGATATTATTTTGCCATTGTTAAATAAGTTGTGGAGTTGATTCATGCTTTTTTGGGAATTACTTGCATGTGGAATTGTGACATAAACAATGTTAATTGCAGTTTTAAAACTGCACAAACACTTCCCATATGTTTTACTGTAAGCCAAAGACATTAACCTTGTTAAATGCACTTGAGGAGTGCAGTATGACTCGAATATGAGAGTATGTAATGATTGATGCGCATGATGATGAAAGTTGAATTCCAGGCAATAGAAGCTCATTGTTTCATTTCCACATAGGATGAATATAATTTGTTTACGCATATGGATGTCTCTCAAGAGCGCTTGTTTTCTTTGCATGCTGTGTTTGGTTTTCTCATGAATCCGATATCCGAGTTTAAGAATATAAAATAGAAAAATAAAGAAAGGTAACCTAAATAATGCAACCAGTCTGATATGTATAGACTGCAAGTAATTTCATATGCATGAGAACATCATCTCTTTGTCAACAGCTCCAGTAGTAATCATCAGGATGGTATTAGGCTTCTGGGTGGTATTGTAGCTGAACAAAATCCCTCTTTGGTCCTCAGCTAACCATCATCGGTTATCCTGCAGAGAAGAGAGAAGCGCTTGTGTATGTTCGAGACTGATGCTATAGTGGTTGTCTAAACCTGAGGGTGGTGAAGATCATTAAACACCTCCTCAGTCTCTCTCTAAAGGACATCTCTCGTCATGGCAACTATATAAACATCACACACTTTCTCCCGCAGGGTAAATGTGGAAGGAGCATGCAAAGGTGCTACTTCTGAAGTCCACTAGGGACCGGGACTCTATATACAGTTGAGATATGCAGAGTAAGGCTGTCTAGGTGCTTGAAGGACATTGTACAATGATATAATTTCCCGTTTAAAAGAGAAGACAGGCTACACAGGTTGTTCATAATTTAAAAGATCAGAGTATCTGAGAGAGCTTGTAAAAAGAGAGTATTCAGGCTCCATACTTATGAGGTTGGTCAGTTGTGAGAACTAAAGCGAATTTAAAGGGTTAGTTCACCCAAAAATGAAAGTTAGGCTGCGTTTTACTCACTGCCGATGCATCCTAGGTGTATATGACTTTCTTCTTTCAGACGAATCCAGTCGGAGTTATATTAAAAATTGTCTTTGATATTTCAAGCTCTATCGTTGCACTCAGCGGGTGTTGCATTGCTTCTGTCCAAAAGACGTGAAATAAAAAGCACCTTTCCATAAAATAAAGTGTCTCACACGGCTCCGGTCATATACACCTAGGATGCATCGGGGGTGAGTAAATCGCAGCCTAATTTTCATTTTTGGGTGAGCTAACCCTTTAAGGCCTGCTGAGAAGATAGCATTATCAACAAGGTCTCGACAATCTGCTAACTAGTGCGGAGGAAGCTGCTTTGAAACTGTGGCTTGCCAAGGTACATGGGCTAATCATAATTTGAAGCAATGCAAAGTATTTAAAAAGGTAGTTAGCTGCACTTCAAGTACAAAAGCCTGTTAACACCTAGAATGATATCTAATAAGCTAAATAGTATTGTACGTCTATTCCAGCAATGTCATATCTCAGTGTCGCTATCGTTATAGCTATAGCTATGAACTTCCTTATTCTCACAGGATTGAAAAACTTAATAGTTACATCTATTAAAATAGTCCTTGGTGTGAACAGGAATTAACTGTCTAATAATATAAATTAAAGAGCTGAATTTTTGCATTTTTAATACATTTGAATTTTAAAGTGTCTTAATTAGGGTGATAGTGTCAAACAGGTACATTATATTACGTACAACAAACACCGTAGATTACATAACCGAATCGAATTATGACACAGGGACTCGAATTGTTGAATCATTTTTGTGAATTTATTCATTCTTGTCTCTGACTGAACCAACAGACTGAATCGGACTTGACTGAATAAGATTTTACAGTGTATGTTCGATAAGATTCTTTAGATGAATCGATTCATTAGAATAAAAGAGACTTTCCCTTAGTATCCAACGCTACAGTTGAGAGGGTGGGCCGATTTGGATGAACCGATTCACTAGAATGAATCGGACTTACGTCACACATGAGAAAGGGAGAGAAGAACCGTTTAAAAGAGCGCGTTTGATCGCGCAACCGGTGACATGAAGTACCTCGTTATTGTTAAAAATACGCAGTTATGAAAATAAATATAACAGAGCTACTGAAACGTGTGTGGGTAAGTTTGTAGCGTCGCTACATTGAGTTCATAACACGGTTTAAAACTCTGGCCAAATATAGTAGGTATAAACAAGGCCTTGGGTCTCAAGTGTTTTGATTTCAAACACTTCAGACAACTAAATTTGTTGCTGTTTTTGTCTCAACTATTGCAGAGTTCTGTACAGTGTGTCTATTTAGTATGTGTTTAGCAGACTGTTGCCCACTTGTACGAGTTTAGAATCGATTTTATCGCGGTGTTGCAGTTGCACTCATGTTACGGGTTATCATGTTGACTAGAAGAAATGGACTGTGTCAAATGGGGCGCATTTAATGTCGAAATCTCCAGCCAGGCAAAGCAGCAAATTGTTTTGCAGCAGATGTTGTCTGGCTACTTACGATTGATTGATTGTTTGTTTGTCAGAGATGTCTTGACTGTCTGAGTGGCTCTGTTGGTTCATGTTCGGGGCTCCAGCCAGTAGCCAGAGGATCTGGGGTCAATTCATGACTTCGCCAAACTGTAGTCATGGCAACAGCCGCAGTGGTAATCACGTGTGATCATGCTTTTATAATCTCAGCTGCCTATCAGTGCTGGATCAAATGGCAGCTGTTTATTATCATAAAATAATTGCAACACTCTCAAACTTGTGGAAGTGGTTTGAAGATTCACTTGCTTTCTGAGGATCCTGATTGAACATCACATTAAAGTCACCATGAAATCAAAATGGAAAATTCTTATTTTTTTAATGGAATACTGTAGTGTTTATTATAAAGAATTTATCTGTGCACTTCATTTTTTTTTTAATTCATGTGCCCTCCTAATCTTTAATCAAAAACGTTAACCTTCCCTCCCCCTCAAAACGACTCGTCTTCTCTTCCGGTCACGAGCTATGGCGCAAGGGCGGAGCTAGTGACATGAGGGGTAAACGCTGGGATAAAGGACGGGGAAAAGCTGAAGCTGATGCTTCACTTTATAACACTGACACCAGACATGAGGGAGTACGCTACCCCTAAACATTGAAAAAATATTACGACAACATTACTCTTAGGACATCGCGAACTAATTTTTTTCATGACTTAAAGGGGTAGTTCACTTTCAGAATGAAAATTCTGTCACCATTTACTCACCCCCCACTTGTTCCAAACCTGTATGAGTTTCTTTCTTCTGTTGAACACAAAGGGAACCATTGACTTCCATAGTATTTTTTTTCTTACTATGGAAGTCAATGGTGCTCATCAACCATTCGGATCCCAACATTTTTCAAAATATCTTTTGTGTTCAACAGAAGAAAGAAACTCATACAGGTTTGGAACAAGTGGGGGGGTGAGTAAATGGTGACAGAATTTTCATTCTGAAAGTGAACTTCTCCTTTAACGTTTATTTTATTTAAAGTAATGAAAATGTATTGTTATGGTTTTAGTTTTAGTTAACTATAATAACCAATTGTACAAGTTGATGTGTCAAGTGATTTGTACACAAAAAAAGAAAACATCTGTTCACGTCTTTAGAACAAACAGGACTACTGAAGAAATAATATAGTTTAGAGAAAGCAACTCATGAGTTTCTTTCTTCTGTTGAACACAAAAGGAACCATTGACTTCCATAGTATTTTTTTTTTCTTACTATGGAAGTCAATGGTGCTCATCAACCGTTCGGATCCCAACATTTTTCAAAATATCTTTTGTGTTCAACAGAAGAAAGAAACTCATACAGGTTTGGAACAAGTGGGGGGGGTGAGTAAATGGTGACAGAATTTTCATTCTGAAAGTGAACTTCTCCTTTAACCTGATGGAGGATGCACTCAGTCATTCAGGCAGTCTCTCTCTTGCACGTGCTGTTTAGGCATGTTTTGTGGCGTTGATCGTCATCCTTAATAAATAAAACATTTATTCATGCTTGGGTATTGGCTGTGAATCCAGTGGAGACTCAGAGAAATCCCCCACCACTAACTGCAAACTGGCATTCAGATCTGCCTCCATTTTGTTAGCAACGGCCCAGCTTCCAACATCCAATCAATTCCCGAAGGACAAAATCAAATCCCACCCTCTCATTTCAGATGCCGTTTCACTCAGATATACGTCACAGTAGAGAAGAAAAGACAATCGCAACTTCCGTTTCATGCCAACTTTAAACTGTTTACAGAGAGCTAACTTTTTTTTTTTTGCTGTTTACTTCTAGCTTAGCCAAGACTCTTATCCCGGCAAAGAAAACTGGATTATAATTATATGCCTCAAACTAGCTTTAATAATGAAAAACAGCACTGTTTTCACTGAAAGAGGATCTACACTACCATTCAAATTTTGGGGTCAAAAGTGACAAATGTTACAAAATATTTCTCATAAAAGGGGCACAATTGTTTTTTAACATTCATAATAGTAAGAAATGTTTCTTGATCATCAAATCAGCGTATTCGAATGATTTCTGAAGGATCATGTGACACTGAAGACTGGGGTAATGATGGTGAAAATTCAGCTTTGCATCACAGAAATAAAGTACATTTTTAAATATAATTAAAGAAACACTTATTTAAAATGTTTAAAGTGCAATGACAGTTTTACTTTGTAATAATTTAGTTTTGCTGTATTTTTGATTGAATAAATTCAGACTTTGTGAGCAAAAACACGTTTTAAATAAATATTACAAACTACAAAGTCCTCTCTTCAATTCCAAACTTTTGAACAGTAGTGTAGGAATGATAAATTGTCAAATTCTCTGTTTTCATATTCTTTAATATTATGAATCCTTTTTCTTTCTTTTTCAGTTTTTTTGTTGTTGACATAAATGCATTCGTTTTCCAATTTGAAGGACAGAAACAATAGTTTGTGTTTTCCCTTATCAGTGCAAAGTCATCACAAAATAATGATTCATGTTGATATTGTTAAGGCCCATTTAGTTCTATAGCATAAATATGTATTTATATAGTCTTGTAGATCGCAATAGTGACCTGTAGCAGTCAGATTAGTTCACACAATTTTTGGGGGGATTTGAGATGATACCAGAAAATGGAAATTATTATAATTTTTCAGATTGAAAATGTAAAATCGAAAGTGGAAATATTGCCCTTAATAGTGAAGTTTAACACTGTGTGATATTGCTTACACTTGACTTGACCTTTGTAAATCAGGGTGTCGTCTACATTTCAGTACAACCCTAATTATTTTCTTTGTACATTCCTTTCATGTTTCATGATCCTGGTGCATTGGTCTTGTTTTGGTGCTGTCTACTGCATGCTGTAATCCACACAGCAGGCTCTCCAGACCAGGACGAGTGGTGGAGGTCCTCAGCACCACTCTGCCAGTGAGTCTCTTCTTTACTTTCTCTACTTCCCTTGTCTCTGTTTACAGGCTGTCTCGACCAGACCCAGGCCCTGCCTGCCATCACCACACACTCCAAAACAGCAGAAAGGAAGGTCTTCGGGTTTATGTTTAATAAACAATCCAGTGAAAAATAATTAGCTGATAAGGCGCCTTTTTGATTCAACATGGAGGTGAAGTTTTACATATCTTCTCTAAGCTCAGCTGCATTTTTAATATATATGCTGAATATTTAATGCATTTACAACCTAAAGGAACTGTGATGAAATGCAGATTTATTCCTCGGGGAGAGTTGAGGGAAGGACAGTGCACATGGATTTGCATATCTGTCAGCATCACTGCGCATCTTGACTTTCTCGCGCTACTCTGCGTGTGCATGGCACGATACAGGCCTCTGTGATCCGCAAGACAACAGGTTTGCTCCAGATGTGCTGAGATTTAGTCTGTGGTGGGGCTGTTTCTCTGCCTGGTGACTTCTCTACAGACTGTGCCAAGAAAGCCTGGCTGGTTGTTGAGTGGCAGTGTCTGAGATGGGCTCAGCTGGCTGTGCTAAAAGATAAGAAAAAGAGAACAGAAAGCTCTCCCTCTCTTTCTGTTTCTATCCATTTCTCTCTCTCTCTAAAACCCAGAGGAGCTGACCTGCATTAAGACGTCAGGAAGAGTGGGGTGGTTAATAGGATGGATACAGGCAAACATCTTCAGAAGCTTGTTAAAGAGAGCAGCGTTGGCAGCGATTTAGAAAATCAGCTATTATAGTTTAATGAGGTTCATCAAATCCGAGTTGGCAAATTATAGCATTCTGGCCCCCTCCCAAAAAACATCTCTTTTGCTCTGTGACATCTCCATCTCCGTGTACTAATGCGTTTATAAGCTGTGTAGAATTCACAAAGGCAGTCAGTATGTGAGCCTTATCGCATGAATGAAGCATCCCTGGCCAAGATTTTCCAGCCGTTACATCAGAACGCCTCTCCTCCAAAAGCAGGTCTGTTTCTCATTGAGCTCAGTTTGTTGTGATGTTTCATGTATGACGTATGTAAAGATTTGAACTTGAACTTGCTGCACTCCCTGATGCGTCTGTTCTTCAAGTTTGCCATAGGACTATCTGACCGGAATTTCCACATCCACTGCAATTTTATGATGACCCCTGCACTTCAGAGCTTATGTATGCATGTACAGTGTACCAAGTAAGATAACATGCATATATCAGATGATCTGAATTAGGGGTGTCCAGTGCCTGTTTTTTTCTCATTTTTTTGTAAGAAAAGTTTTAATATTATGTTGTTAGTGTCATATGACAACATAAGACAACATGTTGTTTCCCAAAGTAAATAATTGGCTTTTATGTTATCGCTGCACTATAGTCAAAGAAAATGATACAAATATTATCTGGAAAATATTTATTGTTCGAATAATACTGAGGAATGATGTATAAAACCTAATATATAACTTTTTTTCATATGGTCTGACCAAATTTAGATGTGAATGAGTGATTTCTATCACTGCATTTCAGACAAACACTACTTTTCCATCATGGAACAATTCGAAGATACAGATTTTGTCAGAAGTTGTATCCAGAATCCTTTTGGCTGAAATATTTTTGAGTGAACACAGTGCTTCTGCTTCTGTGTGGCCACGTGTCATGTCTGCTTGTATCATGTTATCACCAGGTTCAGTTTATCAACTTTTGCATAAGTTCTAGGGATGGGAATTTACAGTAATGTTAATAATCGATTTTCATTCAAATTAACAGTCAATTAATTGATTAAACATCAGCACTGCATAATAAATGTGGAGAAATCCTAATATCATAGCAATGGCTGAACAATAACCTACATAAACTGTACCTGTACAGAACAAACAGATACATTGTTATACAATGATGACACATCTTCCATGCATGGAACCCCAAAAAAAGTTTTTTGAAGCAACCGAGTGCATATGCTCTAGACTGATGTTGCATCACGTCTTATTTTCTACACTTCTTGTTAGGGCTGGACGATATGGCCAAAATTTATATCACGATATATTTCTTAATTTCGGTCGATACGATATAATTCCGATATCGATATGAACACTATTAAAAAAGCCTCATAAAAACAGCCAAGAACGGCCACAACAGATGTCTGTACCTACAAACTTATGAAAAATTAATTTGCCAACTCTATGAAACCTACTCCTATAAAACTATATAATATTTTAGGGAAAAAATGGCGCAAATAAATACATGTTCAACTTTTATTGATATTTAGCCTTCATACAAAAAAGAAATGTGAAATCACTGTCAAATAAATCTCAGACTCTCCTTATTAATATTAATATTTTTTACTTCAAACTATTATATCGCGATACATATTGATATTGAATTATTGTCCAGCCCTACTTCTTGTGCGTGATGAGCGGTGTGGTGCCAGTTAACCGATAAGGGTGCCACACAAATGTGCTCTTCACATGACTATTTCTCCTTCTGCTCATATGAACATGAACATAAATGCCTGAAGACACAGAGTGTACTCACCTCTGACACCTCACTCACAGTGCTCATTTAAACTGACAGAAGTGCTTATTAGAAATGGAGATGCAGAACAACATCAACACTGTAAATAAAGTGCTTGTTGTCATGATGTACTCTAGTATGTGATTACATAATTGTAGTGCACATACTCTTTACTTATAAGGAAACGCTCCAGCAACATTTGTTATTCAGCCTGTTTCAAGCAAGCCAAGAGGTGCACATTTGTGTAGCGGGCATGAAATACATGCATCACCAATGTTGGATGATTTTAAAGGCAGTGTTTTTGCCATCTGTTTGGTTGATTACTGGAATGCATTTGAACTGAAATTGATTAGACAATAGACAATCTGTAAGCTTAATCGATTGAATTCTTACAAGCAATTAATCAATCTTTGATTAATCATTCGCATTCCTAGTAAGTGCTCAGCAAAATGTTACTAATTCCTCTTTCTTTAAAAGAGTGGTCTTTATAGGAAAAATATTATAGTACCACTTTATTCATTTGCCTCTTTCATTGAGTTGATTTTAATGTTACGGGCTCAAATAAGAGATGATTTCAAAGGGTCAATTGAAAAGTTATATCTAATTCCTCTCGCACACAGCCCTGTTTTTGGATGGTGTGGTGGCTTCTCAGGGCTGGTAACTGGGAGGTTCCTGGTTTAATTAAAACCAAACATAACCGTAATAAGGTACTTGATCCTAGGTTGCACCCTGGGATTGTCTCTGTGGTAAGTTCATAGTCTTGTTCTGTGGTTACATTATATGAATGCTGTGGAAATAGACTATCCACCCTATTCATTTTTAAACTATTCTTTCAACATGAAACTTCTCACTTAGTCAGATCTTTTAGTTCAATGTATTCTTGGCAAAGAAAAAAAGTAAGTTCACTGCTCTGTCAAGTTCCTACAACTCAATCTTCCCAACTTTAGTTAAGCTGTGATTTTGGTAAACTTCACTAGGTTCAGACAAAACGGTCTTTATTCTTCTCTGTGAGCAGAAGGAAGATTAATTTCCCACTTGAAAGATTAGTTGAATACCTTGAGGGTAGCGACTCGTGCTGCTGTCTGTCTGTCAAAACGGTGGCTGAGCCGTTAACGTCTGCCTGTTTGCACTATAGCCGCAAACCACAGCCCTCCTGCAGGGCCCAAGTTTTCCTTCAAAATGTAGCATCCACCTACTGATAGTTACTTTCCTTAGCAGATAATAATTTTGCACTTGTTCGACGATAAGTTGTAAAGTGTGCTCCTAATTTTTTTTAGAGGAGCCACACCACGGTGCCCCTCAATGGGGTTCATCAATGGTCTTTCCTGGATCAGGATGTTTTATTGTTAGCTATCTGACAATCTCTCTGGTGCACAGTACTGATAACCTTCTCTCTGGGGTGACTCCCTTATAATCTGTTTCCTTTGGGCCCTCGTGCAACTTATGCCTGGGTGTAAAATCACATTAAGGCCTAGTTAACATTTAGAAGAGGATGCAAGCAGATGCTGACGTTTAAAATGTTGCCGCCATGGATTTATGTGCAGGCCAAGGCAGCTGCAAATAGTTCAATAAAAGTTTTAAGAAACAATGTTTCTGAAGTGACTGCCCGGCACAAGCCCTTGCTCCATTTTACAATGTCACAGTATCCCCGTGGGGTGAGTCTTGTTTACTGCCTGAAATGCAATCATAAAGACTGAGGTAGAGCTTCCCCACTCCCAAAACAATCTCAAACCTCCCTCTGTACCAATGCTTTGAAACTGGAGACCACTGGAGGTCCATGAGAGAAGTTGATTAGTGAGTTGATAAGTAGAATTGACCAAAAAATTTAATTGACTTGTTAATCAATCAACTCCATTAATTAACTGACTATAAATATTATTAAAACATTGAAGGGGACATGATGGGGTGATCAGAAGTGGTCCTCCACCTGGACTGTACATGTTTGCATACACTGAAATGTATTTTTAATGTATTGACCGCATGTAAAACATAAGTATTTTATGTATTAACAACTTCAGAGATGTACAAATGTCTTTGAATCCTTTTGGGTTTTGGAATATTGAATGCATGGAAGTAATAGGTTGATTTTTATTGTATTTATTCCGTAATATATTCAGTGCCATCACGTTTATATGCCACCAAATGTGATGTTTTTATAACAGTTTCATTCTTTTCTGTGTGATTTCTGTTTTCAAAGGATTCCGTCGCTTTTCACAAGCCTGAACTATTTGTTAAAACAATGGAAATTGTCATCGTTTAAACATTTACTTGAATATTTAATTTATTATTTTGTTTGCAGAGATATAACATATGGAAAAATATTTTAATTAAGCGCTAATTTGCTGCTCAAGAAACATTTCTTATTATCAATGTTGACAGCAGTTGTGCTGCTTAATATTTTTGTAGAATCCTGATAGTTTTTTCAGGATTCTTTAAAGAATAGAAAGTTTAAAAGAACAGCGTTTATTTAAAATAATAAATGCAAAAGATTCATAAAGATTTTTAGGTTTAGATGCTGTCAGTAAGTCCATATTGTACTTTACCCTGTATATCCAAATCTATAAACACTTGTGTGTTGTGTTAAGTTAACACAAGTACCTATGAATACTAATAAGGTCAAGCTGAAGCCTCTCCCTGTGCGTTTAATCCCAGGCAATTGTTTTTGGTTCAGTGGTGAGGCAAATGACTCCAGGATGTGTTCCACCTCTCTTTGCTCCCACTCACCTTCTCCTATACCGGTCCATCAGAGTAGGTCCTTCCCAGGGGGCTCTTTGAGCAAATCGCAAAAATTCGGCACCCTGATTAGAGCAGTAACCAAACTCAAGCCTCCGACTACTTTCTCAAAATGACACAGACGCTCCTACACAGCTCCCTGCTGGCTCGCTACAACCCCCTCACCCCCCAACACTTAGCATTTGTGTAGCATTTTTTTTTTTTTGTCCACGTCAATGATCCATCCCCTCCCCAGGATGACTGCTGTTAACACAGCTGAGGTGCATTAGGCCCGTGTTGTTCTTGCTCCTTACCTGGCTCCAGGCTCTGTTTGCGGTCCCTTGTGTTTTCCTTCCACTTCAGTGCAGCCGCAGACCCCGCGCAGGAGTCCAAGTGGCAGCTCTTGGAGGCTGTAATGTGCTAAATTGCCCGTGATGTTGTTCTTTCTGCAGTTTTGACGTTTGGAATGGCAGTGATTTGACAATGTGCTGTCAGATCCACTATGTATCAGTGTGGCTGATTAATTAGAAGTGACTGAGTTGGAAAGCAGAAAACACCCACCGATATTACCGCTGGTGGTGCTTTCACACAGACAGGTAATAATAAGGCTTTTATGGTGTGGCAGAAGAGACCGGAGGCTTGTTGCCAGGGCTGCACCAGATGTTACTGCTGTGTCTTGGCTTGAAGTTAAAGTTGTAACATCTTAGCTTTTTTTTCTCCATCATTTAGAAGACCCTGTGATAACTAAAACGTCTTTACGTCTTCATGGGTCCAGGGTTGTCAACTCAATCCATAAGTTATTTTTAATGGGAATCGGTGACACCTTTTATTGCAGTGAGAGTGAGCAGACTCCTTGCTGATTTCTGAGCAGTCTGGGGTACATAACTGCCTCCCCAGCCAGATCTGCACTGTAACTAGAGCTTCATTGTCACGCTCCACATCACCTCACTGACCCCCGGTCCAATTATACAGCTGACCCGGGTTTGATGACATAACCTCTCCAGATCGGGGTGCGATCACCTCGTGGGGTACCCTACTGCCTGTCAGGCCATGTCAGCTCACCATGCTAAGCAGACACTTCCCAGAGCTGCTCCCAATGGACAGAGCAGCAACGATGGCCTGCAGACAGAACATATAAATCTTTTTTCTGGTGTATATATAGATTTTTCTTGTTTTTTCTCTCTCTCCCTTAGTTTAAGCTTATGTCAAATAATGAAGTAGTCACAAAATTATTTGTAGTTTGATGGTAATTTATGTTCCTGGGGAAATTTTCTGTTATTAATTTCATCAAATACAATGAAAGCCATTGGGGTTCAAAACAGCATTAGACCCCACTAACTTTCATTTTATGGACAAATTGTCTTTTTGTGTGTGTGTTCCACAGAAAAAGAAAGGAGTACATGTCTTAAGCTAATTTTGGCCATATATGGAAAAAAACATGCTTTGATAAATCATAATTATGTCATAAAAAGTAATTATGAGACGAAAAAGTTGAAATTATGAGATAATTAAGATACTAAGTCATCATTATGACTTATTTTCATGCGTCTCATAAATTTAACTCTTTGTCATAATTATGATAAACCATTCATTTGTTCTTTTTATTGAAGAACGTTTCAGTCAATACAGTGAACATAAATGTGGTATAAAACTACAATGGACCATTTTATTTTAATGTATTAATGTTTCAAGCTTTATTCTTTTGTGTCCCAAAGAAGAAAGTCCTACACATGCATGACAGTACGAAAATGATGACAGAATTGTATTTTTTGGGTCACTATCCAATCAAGATTTCTGTAGTGATCACTAGATCATAATTGTTTAGCTTATCGTGGGTTAATATTATAATGGGGTAGAAAATGTATCTTTTTTCAACATGATAAAAATAATTATGAATGACATGATTTTTGTTGCATTTTTTTGAAGAAAAAGGACAAACTCACACTTGTTTCTTAAAATAAGATTTTTTAATATTACTTATTATCATAAAGATATATTTACACACTTTACAGAAATAGAAAATAAAAACACAAAGCTACGCATGAAAGGAAAAAATAAAATAAGTACTCCAAGAGCTAAAGCTTATCTTTTATAAATTAGAAACCAAAAGTTCAAATATGTACACAGTATTTCAACCATTTCTGATACACTTGTTTAATTCATTTATTTATTCATTTGTTTTTGCCCAGTTCAACATCAAAACAGAGACAGGGACTGTACATTTGGCTAGGTGAGTTTGATGAGCACACACCTCCAACAGGAATAAAGAGGAGGAATAATATCTTGCCGTTACGCTACTTTTCACGTGGCCCACTAATACTGTTGAAATGCCAGGCCTGACTACAGATTTTGAGAATTGAAATGGATGGGTGTGCTGAACAAACAGGCCATGAGTATGGATGCGTGTTTTGGATAGAGGTTAGAGCTCTTTATGGGTGTGAAGTCTTGTTCGAAGCAACAGAATAATCGGATCATTCTTAGCGTCCCAACCAGTTGGTGAACTGTTGGGATTGGATTTCAGCTACTCGATCTGGTCACCACATTTTACATGCACCGTGACGAGCTAATGGAAAACAAGCAGCCAAATGGGCGTTTTCTCTTTCTGTGTCAAATATGAAAGCAGAACAGTGTCCGCTAATGAATGTCTTGCAATGAATCACAAGGACAAAGATAATTTTTTGTATTGTATCCTTTGCTTTTATACGTCGATTAAGACCCGAGGGGAACGCATCAATCATCACAGCTCTGTTTTTAACATACAAAAAGCTTCTGGATCCCTTTCTCCCATGCAAAGGCCTGTACTTAAACTAAAGACCTCTGAAAGATTATGTGGAACGTGCGTACAAGTGCATAGGACTTATGATGGGCAGAAACACGTGATCGAGTAAGAATGAGTTTCTCATGTGAGAGAATTTTTTTTTATAGAAAGTGATTTGTGCTCTGTAAGAGTAATGTGTGTGTGTTTGCCATTTCAGTTTTGAGTCTGGACATGCTTGTTCTCTTGACACCACAAGCTCCATTAACCTGATGTGCTGACGGGGACGACGGCCCAGGTTTGACGGCAGAGGAGGGTGAGAAAGCTCTTTTGTGTCCATGACATATTGTGCAGCAGACTATATTTTCTACACTTTTATACGGCCATACACAGAAAAATAAAATACAGCTTTCCACACTCTATCGAAAAGTAGGCTTTGGACAACCAGCTAGACAAGAATCAGTCAATTTAATTGTCACAAGACACTGGAAAACCATTACATGCCAAAAGACTTGTTTTCAGGATTTACTTTTCCAGCAGCATAATGGAATTGCAAAAGTGCAGCCTTGCATGTCCATACAGAGAGATGTTGGAGGAAAGCCAAGTGATTGATAGGGGGTCTCTGCTATAGCAAGCTTTGGATTTTGTCATATTTGTCTTTGGATGTTTGATGAAACGATAACCATCTCCATCGGTTGGAAGGGGGCTAGTTTTTCAAGATTCAAGGCTTGAACTGAACTGAAACACTGCTCGACGGCCCTCAGCTCAGCTCTGGTGAGGATGGTGAAAATACATTCATGAACTACAGTATGGATACAGGCATTACTCCGCACCTCTAACAGACTCTTCAGATGAAGTGTACTGCAACTCAGCCGCCCAAACTTGGATCTTCTCTGCATTCTGACCTACTGATCTATGAAGCAGAGCTCTCGGGAGCGCTATCATTCTGAAAAAGCGTTAATAAATCCACATCTCTGTCTGAGAGGGTATAAAATAATCATGGCGTGACTGGAATTATTAGTATGCACAGTGCCCTAAGATTCGATAAATTTTTAATCGAGGTGAGCTTGGCTGGGTGTTTTACTGATGTAGGTTTTTAGGCACTCTCTTATGAAGAGCTGATTTTGCCGCGAGGTGATGTTTGAATTATGAGTGTGGCTAACAGTCTCATCTCAGCCTCATAATTTGTGTCTTACTGAAAGATTTGACGATGCCTAATCCAAGAGTTGCTCATTTTTGTAGATTATTACATCATAAATCGGTTGAACGCTAAGGTGGTGTGGTCATTCTATGCCAGTTTGTTTTGTGAGCTCTATTGGACTTGAAAGAGATTTTCGTGATTCCAATTTAAAACCGATTAGCAATGGGATTTAATAACCAGGCTGTGGCCACCTGTACCAAAGAGGCTCAAACTCAAAAGGCAACTGCTCCCAATGGGGAGAAAACAGTAATGGCTTGTAAAAACGTAGTCTGGATATGTAGCTAAAAAGTGGTGGATAAATAAGCATGAAGTTAAATGGTGTGAATACAAATAATGTGTGTTTCTTAAATAAATGCATGTAATATAGACCATACAGGCTTGTGTCACAGCACCCTGAGAAATGAACTGAAATATAACAAAATAACAACAAAAGAATGAGAAATCATTTCCAGTATGATGTCAAATAAAGGCATAGAGTTCTGTCAAAGAATCCAGTCAAGGGGAAAATAATCAGATCTGTAAAGAAAATATCTTTCCTTTTTTTTAGTTTTTAGTTTTTTTTGGTCTAATGTCTTGAAACCATGATACCATTGCCTTTACATTGGGTGTTCAAACAAATGGCAAAATGCGTACATATGTTTAGATGTTATGCTTCCCCCAAGATAAGAGGTAACATGTTTACTTTTCTTCTCCTGGCAGCACTGTGGAGTAGATTTGCTATTTGGCACTTCTTTAAAAGGAGAGATGGTCCGCCATGTGAAGCAGATCACCCTGGCCAGTTAACAGTCATGTATCTCTGCTGTAAAGCAGCGTGTATCATGAGGGAGGAGAAGAGGGCTCAGGACGATGATCTCTCGCTCATGGAAGTGGAGTGTGATTTTTGATAATGAGACACTGTGGCTTTATCCTTAAGCTTCAGCTGGCTGACAACTCTTAGGCTCATTGGTAGGATGATGTATAATGAACGTTGGACAGCACTATGAGATGTAATCAAGCTGTTTTAAATAGATGTGCCAATGAATTATATAGTCATTTAACATTTTTAGAGGTAATTATGTAATCAGTAATTATAACTGAACCCGATAACATTGATTGCATTTACATTACAATCAGCATTCTGGATGCTTATACAATGTGCATACATTTTGGTGCCAAAACTTGATGAGTTAGAATTGATCTCATTAAGAAAAAAATTTTTGTCAGGATTTTATAAGAAAACATTTTTGATAATTGCATTTGTGAGCAGTTTGCCATGTAAATGCACTCAGTGATGCCGTTATTAAGCTAACTGGCCAATTTTTGCTGTAGGTAGATGGTAAATTGTGTAAGATGAAAATAAATTAGCATTGCTGGCCTGGCCATAATGGGCCTGAGCATTTGTGCCTTTACTTTAGATTCCCTGCCGCTTTCTTCCCTTATAAATGCCATTTATAAGCCAAGAGTTGCCAACACCTAGCAATGGGTCAAAGCGCTGTGGTCACCTACAAACTGGAGAGAATGGGACTAGCACACCTCGGAGAAGAAACTGACGCTTTCGGACTATAACTGTTTAGACCAGGCTCCCCACTGCTCACACATCATGCAAAGTGTGGCCATGAAAGGGCTCTAGAAAGCAAATGAGGAAAACCACAGGAGGAGAGAGACAGACAGAGAGAGACAGAATCTGATAGCTTGGGCTCAATACCCCCCACCCCCGTTCCCGGCCCACAATTCTTCATAGAGCTGAGGGTGAGTGGCTTGTCCTGGTTTTTTTGTGGACAGAAGAAGAGTTGCTTGAAGAACCAGCAGGTGCTATGGACATCACTCTTCAGGCTGGGCTAGCAAAGGCCCCTTGTTGCAAGGCCCCCCAAGGCAAAGGAAGAGCATAGAAATCAGAACCAAGGGGGAGGGCACTCTAAGCTGTGCCTGTGGACAAAAGAAAAGACACATGAATAAGTTACAATGCAGGAACCAACAGTGTTTTTCTGTAGTTTTACTAATTAGCACAGGTACTGAACATAACGGCTAAGAAAGAGCAAGTCATTAGATGTTTAATAATCCTAAAGGTTACTTAAAAACATCATGGATCATAATTGTGCATTCAAATTAAAAAACAACAACAGCAACATTGGACCCCATTGACTTTCAGTGTTTTTTTGTGGAAGAAAAAAAAACGGATATATTTTAAAATATCTACAAGACCGTGCAGGCTTGGAATGATATAAGGGTGAGAGAATTTTTGTTTTTTGGTAAACTAACTACAAAATTGCTAGCAAAATTGGTGAAGGCAACTGGGATAATAATCCATTGGGACAAGCTGAAAAATGTGGGGGGGGAATAAAAAATGGCAGACACTGCGAGTGAAATGTTTAATTCAGTATTCAAAGATATCCATAAAAATGTATTATTTTACCCAATATTTGTGTCCTGTACTATAGTCCACCCAAAAATGAAAATTCAGTCATGATTTATTCACCCTCATGGTGTTCTAAAACTGTATGCATTTCTTACTTATGTGGAACACAAAAAAAGATATTTCGAAGAATATTGGTAACCAAAAAGTTTTGGTTCCCATTGACTTCTATTGTATTTTTTTTGTCCATATAATGAAAATCAATAGGAACTGATATTGGTTACCAACATTCTTTAAAATATCTTTAAATGTTCCAGAGAGCAAACAAGTTTTTACAGATTTAGAACAACATGAGGGTGAGTAAATGATAGAATTTTCATTTTTGGCTGAACTATCCCTTTAAGCTATCACACTTTTAGTTCAGCAAAATGCTAATGCAAAACTGCTGAAATGATTTGCAGTGTCAAGTCTGTCACTTATGAGGTTCCATGATTATTAGGATTCTGCTTTTATAAACTGATATGATTTATGCATTTAGAGCGCAACTAGCTAGAATTCTGTTCTTACACTTTACTTTGAGCAAGGAATCTATGTAAACCAGTGAGGTCATCTTTTAGTGTTTGTTTCATGACTACACAATGATTACAGATAGCTTTAGATGTCAATGAGCTTCATTCTTCCAGTACAACAGTGCCCACTGAACGATAAGAACCATCTTTTTACTTTTTTTCTTACACCTGCATAGTGGTGCATTTGAGTCATGTACAGTGCAGCACCAGATATTCTTATCTAAACCATGTTTTGTTTGTTACTCATGTTTACTGTATTTGTTTGTGCTGTATGACATCATGTCAGTTGTCAGAATATACTAACAACATCAAGCTGCTGGCACTTTAAAAGAGGAACTTTGTGTCAGGCAGTTGCTTTCTAATCATGCAGTGTGCCCCTTGGTACTGAATGAGGCATATTTCCAATTTCTAGCTCTCTGCAGTGCAGTGCCTTTGTGCTAGGAAGTCTTTGAAGAGGAGGTCCCTCAACATGGGCTGTTCCTCTTATATGTTGTGGCATCTGGATCTTGTAACGGGTTGTTCATTCTTGTGTTGCTTGTGTTCCATTACCACAACCTTCAGTTCTCATAATCTTCAGCTGAGCTTTTAACCTCCTTTTCAGTTTACTTCCTAGAGCATTCACAATGAGGAAGCCTTGTCCAACATGTTGTTTAGTTAGACTGGTCGGTCATATACGGGCAAGTTAAGCTCAATCAACAGCACTTGTGGCATAATGTTAATTTACCACAAAAATGACTTTTTCCTTCTTTTGTTTAAAAATAAACATAAACATTACAGTGATCATTTACAACTGAAGTTAATAGGGCCAATCTGTAAATGCTAATATACTCGGTGTTGTAATGGTATAACCAAAAGACGTAAACAGTATGTGTGTTAACAAGATTTCAGTGTGAAAAAAGAAATTTGTTTACTATTTCCTTATATACAACTTAACGACAGTTCATTGCCAAGACAACATATTGCCTAGAATCATTAAATGATCATAAAAATGACAATAAGTTTATAGCTTAAATAATGTCTGTTTTAACAGAAAAATTATTAGTTTTAAATTATATATATTATAATAATTAAAAAAAAAGAAAACCAAAATTTTCATAAATGCTGTTGACTGAGCTTAAAGTTATTGTTCATGCAAAAAAGGAAAGTGTTATTATTTACTCACCCTCATGTCATTCCAAATCTGTATAAGTTTCTTTCTCATGTTGAAGATATTTTGAGTAATGCTGGTAATCAAACAGTTGATGGTCCCCATTGACTTCCATAGTATTCCTTTCCTTATTATGGAAGTCATTGGGGACCATGAACTGTTTGGTTCTTCAAAATTGTTCAAAATAACTTATTTTATGTTAAACATAATAAATAAACTACAAGTTTGGAACGACATGAGGGTGAGTAAATGATGACAAAATTTTCATTTTTGGGTGAACTATTTCTTCAACTGTGAACTCTGTATATTCCTTTAAGGAAACTGTCAAAATAGTTTTTTTTTGTTATTTATTTATTTTTTCTAGAACGTTATTATCAAAACGTATTCATACAAGTACGTCTAATTCCAAGTCGTCCCCTTGGTGTTAACTTGTAAGTTCTCGAAGTTCTCTTTTAACGAAGACATCCTTCTCATCTGCAGGCAAGGTGGTGCAGTGTAATGAAAAAAGAGAGAAAGCCTTTCAAGTGCCTCCACTGTGGCCTTGTTCGGTGGTTCTCGGTCTGTTATCAGCCCTTGAGGAGAGTTAATTGCCCCGGTCAGTCTGTGCCCCGTTTTAGCCATAGATGATGAAGTGTGAGACTACGTTTCTCACACTGCACAAAATGTGAGATGTTGTACACTAGCCAGATGCAGGTCAAACACTTTAGTGGTAGTCCCATCTGGGCCATGGACTGATTTACTGTACAGTGCCATACAGTAATTATCACAACATGTTCTCTTTAGCCATAAAATGTCTGTCAAGGAAATGAATATCTATCACATTTTGGAAATAATGAACTGTGAATTGATTAAGAGAAAACTTTTGGGGTTTGATACCACAGGCTTGATTGGAACATTAGTTGCCTCAAATGGACTGGTTTAACAGACTGGGCCCAAAGAAATGTGGGTGAATGTGCTAAAAGACGTGAACTTTGAACCCTCGTACGGCATGAAGCGAGCTGAAGAAGTAGCCGAATGAAAGAGAAATCTTCATCTTGTTTGGGGTTGAAGTGCTGTTTGTGGACTCTACATTGTGAGTCACTGAGCCGTTCCATTTAATGGAGCTACACAACTTCCTGCAGCTCCCCTCTTTGTGCTGCCAGTATGCTGGGGATCAAAACAAGCATTGACTGCCCAACTCACTCAAAGGATCTGTGCGTTTTATTGGCCAGGATGGGAGTGCATGCATAGGCCTTGCTCTTTGTGTCTACCTCTGTGGATGTTAAGATGGTGTTTTCCCTTGGATTGATGAAACATATGAATAGGAATTGTTTGCCGAAAGGAAAAAATGTAATTCGCTATAGATAGTAAAACTGTGGTGGATTTGAGGGTCAAATGGATTTCCAACTGTGGTAAATTTGATGCCCTCATGTCTCATGATTAACTATGCCATAAAAAGTTGACTTGTCCTTTTCGATAAATTCTGGTCTTATATGAGGTTAATTTATGGTGAGACTTGTGTTGTGTTCTGGCCTCCTGTAGGGACATTGTACTCTGTTCAGACATCTTACTGTGCAGACTGTAAAAACAGCTGTGAGTGAGTCCCTATCTCTCTGCCATCCACAGATTTTTTTTAATCCATTCTTCCTTTTTTTAAAAACCACAAAACTGTGTGTCAGCATTTTAGTGCAAAGACTATAAGTAATAAAATGTAATTGTTTTGATGTGCTGATATTTGTCAGATACTGTTCTCTTTTATTTATTGACGTAGTAACTTGTATGTTTCCTTAATAGAGTCCATATTAAAATAAAGACTTTGGTGCTACATCACTGGAAATTTCATGGAGACAATGTTTGTAGGAAGAGAAAACACTTTTATTAGACAAAAAGATTAAAGTGCTTGCCTGAGGAATTGTTTATCTAGATTCTAGACGTTAAGTTAAAATGAGATTCAGAAGTATTGTCTTTGGATAGGGAATTTAATTGGCATTATTAGGATAACGGAATCATGTTGACTCGGATATAATACAACATTGACAATGTATTATATTCCACTCTTTATGGGTTTTGTATATCTGTTGGAGGAGATTGAGACCACAAAAGCCCAGCAGTCTAAAGTCCTGTAATCTCATAAAGACATGCAGTATTTCTGTGCCAGTAGTAATCTATAATTCATGGAAGAAGTGAATGAGCAAGCAGGTTTCTGTCAATCACAGTCTCCCTTTCCTCATGTTTTTCTCCAGCATTCCCATCCTTTCTCAGTATGCACTCAACGAAACTTCAGAAATTGAGACAGGTGCTGCTTCAATTTGATTCGATTATTGTTTTTAACCCCTCGGATTAGTTACTCATATTCTGTTGGGCTCTTATTTTTGCTTTCAGGCTATTGCATTGGTAATGTCAAACTGACCTTGCTCTAAAATGGCATGGGCCCCTTATGGGAGAGGCGGGGTCGAGGGCGTCTCCTCCTCCAGCCAGAAGGTCTTTGGCTCCGGCCGGCTCGAGCGGAATTCTGCCGCAAAGGAGTCCTCATGCTGCCCACCTCCTCTAGCTCTTTGCTATGCTCGGTGGAGGCCATTGGACCTGCGGACAGAAAGAGGGTATGTGAATTATGAAACCTGACATAAAATATTCACTTTGGTTAAAGGTGAAGTGTGTAACTGAATTGCAAAAAACAATGTTTTCAAACAAACCCTCCCCCAAATCAAACCATTGGCTGAGCCATTGTCTTACAATTTAAGTTGATATAAAACAAAATATTTTAACATAAATCATTTATATTGAATATTAATTTGAGATGGGATAAGTAAAAAATACACATTTCACCTTTAAGAAACATCAGTAAAATAATGTATTGCAGCAACAACTACCATA